ACAAATCAGTGGAGAAAGGAAAGTCTTTTCAACAAATGGTGCTGGAACAATTTAATATTCAGATGCAAAAAAAATAAAATAAAATAACTTGGAAATGTGACTTTTACCATGTACAAAAATTAACTCAAAATGAATCACAGGCCTAAATGTAAACTATAAAACTTCTAGAAGAGAGAAGATAAAATCTTTATGACCATAGGTTAGATTTCCTGGATTCAACAAAAGCATAAAACTGGGTAAATGGGAACTGAATGATTAGGGATAAAATTGGAGGAAAATTTTTACTGTTTATATGTTCATATCTTTAATTTTTTTTGCCTTTTGATTTTCAAATCATGTGAATGTATAAAATGTATCCTTTTGTGGGGACAGGTACCAGGGATCTAACCCAGGAAACTTTACCATTGAGCTACATCCCCCCGCCCTTTTGATATTTTATTTGGAGACAGGGTCTCACTAAATTGCTCAGGCTGGTTTTGAATTTACAATCCTCCTGCTTCAGCCTCCTAAGTAGTTGGGATTATAGGCAAGTACCACACACCCGGCTCAAATATATCTTTAAAAGATCAGTAATTTCTCACTTCCTGGTATATACTCAAAAGAAGTAAAAATTGGGATTGAAGCAGATATTTATTCATCCATGTTCATAATTCACGACAGCAGAAAGTCAGAAGCAACCCAAGTATCCACCGACAGAAGAATGGATAAACAAAATTCATTACAACCCTACAATGGAATATAATTTGGTCCTAAAAGAGGAAGTCCATTCTGATGCTTGCTACAACATAGATGAACCTCGAAGACTTCATAGTAAGTGAAATAAGTCAGGCACAAAAGCACAAAAACTGGGTGATTGCCCCACTCATTCTAGGTTTCTACAATATTCAAAGTCACTGAGAGAGAAAGCAGAATTGTGGTAATCAGGGGGTACAGCAGGAGTGAACAGGGACGTGGTGTTTAAAAGGGACATAGTTTCAGTTAGGGAAAATGAGAAAGTTCTGGAAATGGATAGTGGTGATGGTCATATAACAGTGCAAATGTACTTAATGCTACAGAACTATTCAACTTTATGCCCTTGTATATTTTACCACCACCACAAAAAAAAAAAAAAAAATCAGCAACTTCTGATTCTGACTTTGCGAGAGGCTCTGCCTTCTGTTATCTGGCAATGTGGCCTCTGGGGTTCCCTGTCTGCTTGAGGAAGACTTTCACTCTTAGACTCTACCTTGAGTCTCTCTCTTTTCAGTGTTTCCCAGTAGTTTTCTGTTCACTTCCCCAGGAAGGAAAGCTAGTATCAAGAACGACTATTTCAAAAGAATCCTAAAATTATGAAAACTACGATCATATAATTATGCCAAAATTTCTAGTTTCCCAAATGCAACTCTCAGTCTTTCAGGCCTCTCCTTCCCTTGGGCACCCCTCACCCCAGCCTTAAACAAGCAAGGGCTTGGGTGGAAATCTGGCCCTTATCCTACTAGCCATACCATGTGACCATAATGTTTACTACTGTCTCAGCAGCCCTAGGCAAAGCTGATTATTATACAAACCCCTGATCACCAAACCGCACATTCTCACTGGCGCACATTCTCACTGGCGGGTCTTTTCAGAAAAAAAAATCCCTCTTTCAGTCATGGCCTAACCTTTCACCTGAGCTGCTGTAAACAAACCCTGGTCTGCTCGGAAATTGGAGTTTAAACAATATTTTTAAAGGAGCCAAGAGTAAGTTTTCAGCAAGGAAAGACACCATGGAGAAAATAACACACAATAACAAGATAAAAACACTGACCCACATTTACCAGTGGCTGCCAAGCCTGACCCGTAGCCTTCTCACTTGAACACCAGGAATGGACCTAGGCTGCCTTTCCAGCCTACACTGCTACGGGAAGGGCACATACTTGACTCACCAGGTTGGGTTAAATAAAGTCTTGGGTGTAGGCAGTATTTACATTGCTTTTCCTCCCTTTCCCTATAGAAATTGTTTCCTAAGCCCAATTTAGGGAAAAAGCAGAGAGGAACCAAAGAATTGTGCCCTTGGTTGCTCATTAGTTCTACAGGAGTTAAGATTTCCAAAGGGCTGATTCTCCACACTAGGAGCTGGAACTCCCTAGCAACTTCTCAAAATAGAAATGTGAAGTGCTGTTTTCTTCCATTTCTCTGCCCAGCTCTGCCTCTCCTAGTCTAATTTTCTGAAGCTAGGTCAACACACATAAAAGAGGGGTGTGGTATGGGTAATCAAGGACAGTTAACCCTCCATTTTATGGTTATCCAGGGGATGGTTTGTACTTCAGTTCCCTGGTCAGTGCACTACTCTGCAAGATTTGCCAGGTTCCCCTTTTGTAACTCCTGTGGAGAGAACCAGTGAGCAAGGAAGAGCTAACAGGGTAGCTGAAATTAGACCTCAGTGTAACTGTGGATTACATCTGAAAAGCTATCTCCTGCTGCAGGGTTAACGACTATCTACATTCTAATAAAACTGTAAACTACCTCTTTTAGGATACTAAGATCAGTTTTTCTTTTATCAAGAGCACCATGCAGAGACACTAGAGTGGTTATTTCTTCCCTCAATGTTCTCAATGCTTTTCTGCCTCTATGTTGTTCTTGTATCCAACACATTCCCATTAATGACATTTCTTTTTTCTCGGGGGTTGGGGGGAGCAGGAATTGAACCCAGGAGCACTCAACCACTGCGCCACATCCCCAGCCCTATTTTATATTTTATTTAGAGACAGGGTCTTACTGAGTTGCTTAGCGCCCGGCCTATTAATGACATTTGTTTTTTTTTTCTTTTTGTGGTGCTGGGAATTGAACCCAGGGCCTTGTGCATTCGAAGGAAGCACTCTTCCAACTAAGCTATATCCCCAGCCCCATTCATGACATTTCTAATGATGCTGCCATGGTTCCCAAAAAAACAAAAGGCTCACCTTTTTTTTTTTTTTGACTGAGAACCACTAAAATAATTTATGCCCCTAAATACTGAAAGAGAACACAATAAATATCAATATAAGACATAAATATCTACATATGAAATCATGGGGCTGGGGATGTGGCTCAAGCTGTAGCGGGCTCGCCTGGCATGCGTGCGGCCGGGGTTCGATCCTCAGCACCACATACCAACAAAGATGTTGTGTCCACCGAGAACTAAAAAATAAATATTAAAAATTCTCTCTCTCTCTCTCCTCTCTCT